ATAGATAGATAGATAGATAGATAGATAGATAGATAGATAGATAGATATTGGTGATAGCCTTTTCAAATCAATAAATGATAATTTTGACACAGAGCATATTGAGCTATATCAAGAAAAGGGGACAATACTGTTATTGTTAATATTATTACAAAGTTTTCAGGAGAGGAACTTGAGGAGTTGGACTAATGAAAACAGATACTGGCTGATGCTGGTCTCACTTCAAGAGAGGGTTTGTATTATGAGGGCAGTGTTAGCGGGAGAGAGCGAGAGAGAGAGAAACAGAGAGAAGAAAGTTGGAGCAAAACTGTGTGATGAAAGCGTCCAGATCTGAAGGATCCCCTCAGTGAGAGTGCTGGGAGCTGGAGCAGCCGCCCACGGAGAGTCTCCTGTTGGGGTTTCACTTCCACAGTTTGATTTGATTTGGTTTATTCAGCATGGATCCCCAAAAGTCCACTTAGCCTGAATGAAACTCAATTAAGTGGATGAATGCTGGAACATACACACCATGGAGCTTTTTCCCAATCAGCGCTTTGTTGGGATTTTTCTGAGCGGAACCATTTGTCTGGTAGGTCATTTAAGAGCAATTACATGCACTTGAAATAAAAAAAATGTGAAGGGTAGAATTAATGAATTACTTTTTTATTTGCTTTGTTCAATATTAGCTAGTTTCAGCTACATAACAAAGACTCTACCTCATTAGATCTTTTGTCTACTTTACAAACCTGAAACCTTTCATTTGAATTGTTTAGGATGTCTTTTTGTTTCGTTTTTTGGAATAATTAGTTGGACTTCCAGTTTATTACGTCTCAATTGGTCTTTCAATTTTAGTCTAACTTTTTACTCTTTTTAAGTACTTTACTGTAAATATTTGAGCTTCCATTGTGCATTTTTAACGTTGGGTCAATTAGAGAGTTTTTATTTGTCGATTTAGCTTGAAAGTGGACGATCTACCTCTTAGTTCTTTATGACATTCAAAAGAAATCGCTGTCCATTTCCTCCCATCTTTTTTCTGCTCTAGTTTCTTCTTTGTCCACATGAGGCACTGAGCAAGCTCACGTTTGAGGAGGCAGCATCATCTGAGCTCAGCGGGAACAGAGGGCCGTCCTGGCTGCTTCAGGGCAGCAGTGTGGTTCAGAACCCCAAACTGCTCATCAACCCCCCCATCCCCCTGGCAAAGCCGGGACTTTGGGAAATTCCCGGCGGAAAGTCACACTCCAACACATCCGTGAAAGCAATGCTTCAGCCCACCCTGAAAGTCCGTGGAATATCTAAACTGTCCAGGACGTTCAGCTGGGGGGACTTTCATTCCAACATCAAGACGGTTAAACTGAATCTGCTGATAATGGGGAAAGTCGTGGATCATGGAAACGGTTCTCTCGGGGTCTACTTCCGCCACAATTCCACCGGTGTGGGAAACGTGTCTGTCAGCCTCGTCCCCCCCGTGAAAGAGGTGGAGTTCGACTTGGAGCGCCAAAGCGTGGTTAACCCCAAGGACTCCAAGACGTTCAACTGCAGGGTGGAGTACGAGAAGACGGAGCGGAGCAAGAAGGTGATGCTGTGCAACTACGACCCGTCAAAGAAGTGTGACCAGGAGCAAACCCAGAGCCACGTCAACTGGACGTGCTCCAAGCCCTTCCAGGTCATCTGTGTCTACGTGTCTTTCTACAGCACGGACTACAGGCTGGTGCAGAAAGTCTGCCCGGACCACAGGGCCCAGGGTCCAGCCTCCCCTGACCACAGGTCAAACGCGCGCCAAGCTCATGACAACTGAGGGAGTAAAAATCTGTAATCCAGTTTGAGCAGCTTCACGCCGGACCTGAGGGGGATTTTCATCAGTTATCAGCATGTCTGATGACCGATGGACCGGTTGTACAGCAATACCTGCTCCAGTAGTAGTTGTTTTTTTTCCATATTTATAGAATGTAAAAAGTAATGTTGGATGAAAAAATGTTGGTAATTAAGAATCACCAATCAAAAAATTCATATTTTAACCCTTTTTATCTATATATTTATTTGTTTTTAAGACACACCGGAATGTTTACAGTTGCTGTGTGTTAGTTTAATTAGAATTAATTCAATTATTCCTGGTAAATAAATTTCAAGAACTTTTGTTGAACATTGATCATTTAAAGACAAAGACAGACCTGAATGATATACAAAAAGTGATAATTTCTGGACAGGTCTTCTGGTAACTGTTATTCCCAGGCAGAATAGAGTGCCCTCACAGATTACTGAAGCCCCCTGGACCCACTGACAACTGATCTGCAGACTTTAGAATGAGATTTCTCAGCGTGATCAATTGCATCTGACGGCACTAAAATCGTGCTGCAGGTGGAGATGGACAAACAGGAAAATGGCAATATCTTTCTTTAAATGAATTGAAAAGAGAAGACTCGTCCACCAGTGCAAAGAAGTGGATTCATCAGACCAATACCTGCCGAGCTCTCCCATGAGTTCATTCCAAAACTGTCCAGCCTCTGTTGCAGGGAGCTGGCAGGATCAATTCCTCACAGTCTGAACAATCTGGACTCTCACGTTCACCTCCTACAAGAGCTGTCTGCTGAGTTTAACCGCTGCAGGACAAATGAGAAAGTCGCAACACTTTCATTTAAAGAAAAACTTGTCTGTTACAAATTTCGGAACACCTTCAGTCATTAATGTTATGTTATTTAATGTTAAATAAGTAATTTTTTTAATAACTTAGTCTGCAGTCTGGGGTTTTTGTCACTGTGCATATACATTGCTTGCAATTTCAATAAAGTTTTTTTAATTAATTTGCCTGATTTGCTTTTAAAAACCAAGAAACTGGCAATCTCTGAAGCCATGAACAGGCTTTGGCTTTCGGAGGTTTTGTCAGTGGTTGTTTCAAGATATTTTTTAATTGTATCTCCAGAGGTCCTAAAGAACACCGAACCCCGAGGGACCCCTGAAGCCGACTCAGCAACTTTTCTGTACTGACTCCAACATGTGAATCAGCGCTTCAAAGCAAAGCTGATGTTTACAGTGAGGACGGCCAGATTTCATCAGTGGTTCACCGAGTCTGTCGGTAAAATATTCAGCTGTAGAAAACAGGAGTGAATGGTAGCATGTACAAGAAAACACTTGCCTTTTGTTTGTTTGTCATTCTTTGAAAAACTTTTGAAACATCTTTTTGGGGGAAAAATCTGGAAAGAGAAAAGTCAAAATAAAACAAATGACAGGATCCCCAGACTACTTACAAGCAGAACAGAGTTCTGATTTAGGGGGAATTCAGCAACGCACTCCCGATTTTCCTCCTGCATGATGTGGCCTGTGAGATGGACTGAACATGAACAAACACACTGCAGGGGAGACTGTTCATTCATATAAAAATACTCAGACTGTCACCTGTATTCAATACAAAATAGTTGTGGTTTATTTTTCTGGGAACAAAAAATGGTAACAACTAAGTGTCACATCTCAAAATCAGAAATATCTACAGGAAAGAAACAAAAATGGTTCCTTCTATCATTACCATTTTCCACCAGGCTGAAATGATAACTTCAAATGTATTTTGTGTGGTTTGTTTTTCGTTTTTCCCACATTTTTCTCTATTCTGAACATTAAAACGTGTTCATTTCATTGTCATTTCCCTTCAGTCTTCCTGTCTGCAAAGAAAGAAAGTCGCTGCTTAATTCAGTTTCACCATTGAAAATGTGTCTGTTTAACAGCTTCAAAAACACGAGTGTCTGTACAAATTCCTATGAAAAAAATAGACCGTTCTGATGGAAAAAAGAAAAGTTAATCTTTTACAACAGAACATCAACATGCCTGATTGGAGCCTAATGATATTTGTAAAGTTTCCTCCCTTTGCTGTGTCCCGGTGGGATTGCTTGCTGACACCTTGGATACACTTTTCCTCTCAAGGCCCAAAAACACAGACCAACACACAACATACAATTTTCTCAAGAATGGCATCCAGTTGTGCGTCGCTGATTTCTGTCTCCTCTTTATGCTCCTTTTTCGCCAGCTATGAACTAAAACTGATGAAGCTTGGAGAGTTGTCTATAGTACATGTGATGTTTTTGTCAGTTGCTGATAAATCATCTTAAAGGGTACTTGTTGGTGGTGGTCCAGCTGGGTCTTTAGTCCATGAAGCTTGCTTCATTGTGTGCTTGCCTACAGTATTTCTACATTACTGCTGGTAAGGGTTGGCAAGGAGTTGACCTGTGACTTTAGTGCAATGTTTTCCCAATTTTCTCTGGGAAATTATGGTAATCATCCAGTCCCATTTCAGCCTTTTTGTCTAGCCCTTAGTTGTCAATTTGGGGGGCTTCTAGTTTGCAACTAGCGGCCCACTTCATCTTCTTTAGTCACTCGGAGGCCCAGGAGTCCTCTCTCTCATAGCTCAATTCCAAACACTATGAAGCTTTATGATGAAATGAACACTTAAAAACTCTGCCACAGTACTGCAAAGATCCAGATTTCCAGACACTGTTCTTATTGGGTTAACTTGTCCAGTTTTCCCCCCTAAACGGACTCCAAAGTGAAAACCAGCAGGATGTCCACGGATACACAGAAAAGAGCACAATGTCAGACCTCAATAAGTCAGAGCCAGGGTGAAAAGGGAGGGTGGTGTGGGTCTTTTTTTTTTGTAAACAACAAACATCCACTTTGCAAGCCCACGTATCCCTCTCTTCCATCTCCTCCTCTTCCTCTTCCCTCCATCTTTAGAAGAGATTAAATACAGCAGGTTCTGGATGGGGCAGAAGCAGAGCTTCAGGGGAGGCTCTAGGTAGTGTAGAAGGTAACAGCTACGGGAAAAGTTGTCCCTGTGTGTTTAGGGGCGGAGGATATTTGTGTGGGGTTGTTCTGTGTGTGCTTGTGTGTGTAATCATGACTGTGAGGGAAAGCATTGCTGTGATGCTGTTAGGACTGTTTGAGGCGTTTGCGTGGGGGTCCGAGGAAAGGGCACTGGGCAGAGGCCAGAGAGCGGTAAGCTTCGGCCACCAGGTGTGGGTGAGACACAACCATGGACTTCCAGCCAGCCGTCTCCATCACTTCTGCAGCGTGGCTGGAGGGAAAAGCAAAAGAGGAAATTAGAAATAAAAACATGCTCTTTTATTCACCTGCGTATAACACAATATTTGTGGTAGAAATAACAGAGGTGTGTATTTACAATGTTCCATGTGAAGCTGATGAGTACAGTAACAGCTTTTTACAGACTCATATAGAACACATATCATGTACAAATAAGACATGGGTTGCTTAGAGACTGGTACTAAAAAGAAGCAGTGTTAAAAAAAAGATAATGAAAAGGTTCAGGGCTTTTTTTGTATATCCCTTTGGACCAAAAATGATGACCTGCCTCCTAAATCTACACCCTGAAGCTCACAAAAATGTTCAATTATCAAAATCATTTGAGCAATAAACTAATCAGACAAACCTTTACTGTGGGAGCAGAGCTTTTCATGTCCTGACCTAAACTCTGAAACTGACGGCAAGAAACAGGCTATTTCAGCTTCCACTGAACCCTGACCATTATGCAAATAAAATGGAACAAACTTCAAGGCAGAAGCTTCTTAATGTATATAAAACATTTAAACCAGACTGAGCTGCACAGATATTCTGAGTCGGTGTGTCTTTTGTCCACACCGTTCACCATATAGAAAACAGTCAATACATTAAACTTCTGCATCAAATGCTTACTACTCCTTTTTACAAAGTTACTCACACAAGCAAACTGCTCCTGAAATACTTTTGTGAATATTCACCAAAAAGAAAAAGAAAAATCTAAGTTTTGGACATATCGCCCAGACCACCAAAATATGTGTGAGCTGACAATCTGTGCAGACACGTGTGCGGAGTAATTATCACACATCCATCTGAGGCAACGGGGGAGGCGACAACATAGCTCGTGTGCAGTCAGAACGCCCTGATCCCTCACAGAGACTTGACAGGATTTAATGACATCAGACACCCCACTCCACGGGAACATATGTGAGATTGTATCATTAACTGTGACAGAAGTCTGAGTCCTGCTACCGTCGGTAATGCTGCCAGGATGCAAAAGAAAGAGATGAAACGAATCGACACAACAACCGAAGGCAGAATGTACAGTGAACATGGGGGACTTGGGAGTCTGCGAGACGATGCTGAAGAGCCAATTACAAGTGACGAAGAGCTCTTCTCTGTGTGCGAACTTACTAGTTGATGAAGTCGACTGCCTGTGTTTTGAGCTGGTCGGCGCTGTGCAGGTCAGCCAGGATGAGGATCTCTGCAGCGTTCTCTACAGACAGACTGGTGCACAGGGCGTCCTCACACATCACCTTCAGTCTCTCCAGAGCGTACTGAAAAAGAGAAGGCACCAGACGATTTGAATATTGAATAATACACATTTTTTTAATTAAAGATTGCAACAGAAACATCTTTGTGGATTTTTATTCCCTGTACAAAGTTTTTTTTTACAAAAAGCCCATATTATGATTTCCAAAGTAATCAAATGCACAGGTGTTATCCAAAGCTCTAAAATAGTTTGAGGACCTTCAAAAGTCCCCACATAACAGAAGAACCAGTGAAATGGGAACAAACAGGAGAAGGCTGAGAGAAGCTGTGCCGTTAAATGACCTTATCAGCGGCTGCCAGCAGGTCATCAGCCATCTTGTCCAGGTTGGGAGCTTTGTCTGTGTAAATGAAGCACATCATTTCTTTGAAAACTTCAGGCTCCACGTCGTTGATCTCCACACGGTTCTACAGCAATAAAAAAAACAGAAAAACACAATAAGAATTACATTAAATCCTCCAGATCCAATCCACTTCTTTTGAGAACAGAAATATTAGATCTGGAAAACATCTCATCATTAAATGTCTTAAAAATTTCAAAAAGTTAAAGACAAATTGAAGAATGTCTGACCCACACAGACATACCTGCCCCTGCAATCTCATCTGGTACATGTACAGGACTGAGAAAAAAAACAAGAAGCAATTCTGTGCTGGTGGAGCTTTGTCAGTGAGGGATGCATCCTGAGCCTCAGGCGCAGCAGGACAATTGCATTTCAGCTACACTACCTCTCAGTTTCCACACCTTTGTGTAGCAGCCATTAAACAACGCACAATCCTTCACTCACTTTAACTCTTTAACAATCTGTGCATATGACTTGTCACAACCTTATTGGTGGGGGGGGGCTTTGCGACTGTGGTCTCACCTTTTTGCTCTCTTCCATCTCGTGCTCAAACATGGCACTGAATACTGGGGAGCGCGCTGGGGAGGAAAGGAAACAGGTTTGTCATTAATCACTAATCATTCATTTGGTACAACAGAAACGAGAGGGAGAACTCTAATTTACAGCACAGTATTACCGACAGCCATGCACACAGGTAAGCATTTAAAATTGGAGTAACAAGATGAGAGGTGAGTCCTAATCATGTCTGTACCTGCCAGGATGGCTTTGTGGGCCTGAAACTCTTGGCCAGCCACACACAGGGAGCAGTCAGTGAAGCGGGAGTTCTCCCACAGGCCTCCCAGCTCGTCTGCAAGCCGACAGTCGGGCACCTTCACCATGTTCATCGTGTTCTGACCAGATATGTTGACAGAGTCTTGCACCACACTCACCTGAGGGAGAGAGAAATCAGGGAGATTGAATGAACCAAACTGGCAGAATGATGGGAAAAGGCAAAGGAAGTGAGCAAATTCAGGTAAGGAGGAGGTACTGTACCTCACAGAAGAGTGTGAGTTTGTCATCAGGGAGGAGGCCATTGGCCTCATCCAGGAGAAAATCTCTCCGGATGAACTTTTTAAAGCCCCAATCTTTGCCCTGAACAAAGCGGTACGCCCTCTGACTTTCTGCAGACAGACAACATTTACACACGTCACACAGACGCCTGTAGAGGGAAAAGGCACAACCCTCCCACTGGCCCAGGTGGAAGACTGGTTCTGCATCACGTAATCCTTTTCTCACCCATGGCTTTGGTCTCCTCTCCTTTTGCGTTTAGAATAGAAAACTTGAACTTTGCACGCACTTCTGCCTTTGGACAGCTGACCAGCAGCAGGTAGAGGGACAGGTAGTCTTTGCTCTCTTCGTCCAGACCCTTTGGATTCACTCGCAAACACCTGATTGGAATGATAAATTCACAACTGTTCATATCAATAATAAAGTGAGGTGGAGATAATGACATAATCAGTTAAGGTTCAGGGACTCATTGAACTATGTTATGTTTTGTTATTACAGCCTGCACATAGTTTTTTTTTTTTAGGATTTTTTTTAGTATTCTCAACCTTTTCAGCTGTCAGGTCCGTCTGCAGATGAAGCGGAGATCTTGGGGACCTACCATTTCAGTTTGTCGTTGGCCCCTGAAGAGAAGGTGGAGCTCTTGATGACCTCACCCATCTCTTCACGACAGAAGCTGAAGTTGTTAATGGTCCACATGTAGGAGAACTTCACCACTTTGATCTGGTGAGAGAGAAAAATCACACTAAGCAGAGCTGGGAACAACTCCTAAAGCGAAATCCCATTCCACGTGGGGGTTTCTTACCTGTGTATAGCACCAGCTCTCGGCCACGGGCCCGCTGGACATTTCCGCAGGGGGAGGGGGACTCGGGACTCTTGACATTGCCAGCGTGACAGAGGGGGTTGGGGGGCAACAGGGTGAGGAGGAGGAGGAGGAGAAGGAATGTGTCGCTTGCACTTGTCAGTGTTCAGTCTTGACGTCCATCTGCATCAGTACACACCAGATGGAAGCGGTCTGCCCCCTTGAAGTACACTATACAAGAAGGAACAAAGAAAATGTTATTTTGAAACCATGCTTCATGCTTTGCTCTTTCATACAGGGAGGATCTCACTATTCTCATTATGTCATTATACTTGATCTCACAGTTGGGTCTCTATCTGTTTTTAGCATCTTGTGCTAAAACTGCAGTGAAACACTGTCCATAGATTTTTGTAAATCCTGAGAGCAAAGAGCAAACATATTGGCAACTTTGCCTCAAGATTTGCCAAAGATCTGCACATTCTTAGCAGACAATGTGGAAAAAATTACACCTTTCTCAACACAATTCCATATTCATTTAAGTTCTTTATCTTATAACGAGGTTCCTGTGATGTAACAGCCTTGTTTTTTTCTGAATCTGTAACAATTCTTTTTTTTCTTTTTCCTTTGTGTTTTTAGATTATCCCTTTATTAACTTCATTTAGCTTTCAACTAAACAATGGGGGGTGGATCGAGCTTATTAATGACAGGATACATACATAACACTTTTACTACAGCTGTTGTTAACAGCCTCAACTAAATTACTGATTAAAAGTTCCAATCGAGTTTGGTACTTTTCTAACATTGTGCTCTATTTAAAAAGAAAAAATATAATGACGAATGATTCAATGAGTTCTATGTATTTTTCAATCGGAGGGTCAGAGGTTCAACTCCATGTTCCTCAAGACCACATGTCGAAGAGTCCTTGGGCAAGGCTCTGAACCCCAAGTTGCCTTCGGGTGGCATCTGGTGTGTGAATGTGTGTGTGAATGGTGAATGGCACGTGTAAAGCGCTTTGAGCACTCAGCTTGACTGGAAAAACGCTACATAAGTGCATGTGCATTTACATTTACAAAGCACTGTGAAAGAAAATAACAAAATGAAAAGAAAAGTGATAGAGAGGCCAAGTGGAAAAACTGGTGGCAAATGAAAGATGGGACATGGTCAGCGTGAGCCGCAAGATAAATTGCCACCTAAAGAGGTTGGATGGAGACAAAGGAAAATCGAGAAGAGGAACAAGAAGAAAAATCAAAAGCTGAACAGCTGCAGACAGTTGGCTGAGATTAGGGCTCATTTTGCAATCTAACTACCAGACTATCAAAAGTTTGGACACATATACCTGAACTTGTTTGCCTTCTCTTCCGAGTGCCTTGAGAGTTCTTTTGTTGTGAATGGTGCTATCTGATTCAGTCATTATGTCTGTAAATCACTCTTCTTACTCAGATTCCTCTTTCATATTTGGGGCTTCAGTCTAAACAGCGAAGCTCTCAGTAATATTCTGAGGAAAGGTCAGCATCCATGTTGTGTTAGTTATGAACTGTATTAAGTTAACAACTCTTCTGGGTAAATGTTGTTTAGTGCTGACTAAAAACACAAGGGGGAGCTTTAACTGTGATGAAGCTGTAACAAAGAAACACGGCACTTGTCACTGTTCATCTGGTGACCCATTCCAAATGTTAAAAAAATCATTTGTATATCTTACAGTTTCTAAAAGGAGTTCTGTATAAAGAAAGAGCATCACAATAATAGTAACAATTGTTTTTAATCTTACAATTACATCAGCACTTTGAAACAGACCACGGACAACACAGATCTACAGCATTTCTAAACTTAAAGAGCGAACATACCAGACAATTACTTTGGGATGCAGGACCATCAAGCTGGAGTTTACCCAAAACTCCTCCTGGTCATTCGTATTTCACAGACTTCAGAGCTGAACACTAAAATGAGAAAAAGACCTTAACATTTGATACAGGACTGCCACAACAATCATCTAATGTTAGAGTGCAGGTTATTTGCTCCTAACAAGGAGAAAAGTGTGAAGTTATATGTGGCTGTTTGCTATATTTTTAGAGCCTCAGCTTGCTTGGCTTCACAGTAAACAAAGCATCTGCAGTTCATGATGACAAAACATTTTCCTGTATGCCCTTTTATGATAAACACACTCTTCTTATATCACATTGTATAATCTATAATCTTTTGTGTGCATATCTTAAATCCACTGCTTTACTGTTCTGTACACCTAACATTACTGTTAGCTGATGCCCTCTCGAAGCACGTTATTGATTAGTATTCATCAAAATACTTATGCGAGAGCAAGAACAGGGAAATCTTATTGACGAGATGAGACGAACATAGATTTTAGATATCAATTTCAATAATATAACACAAAGTAAACACAGACAAGTGTACATCTGTGGAGTTATGATACATGCAGTTGCATCCATGGCAAGATTGCCTTCTTCCTGACACTTCACACCCCATCCACAAAAAAAAAAGAGGAGATCAATCTCTGCTCCAAATTAAAGGTATAGAGGCACTTCAGACAGCAATTTCCAAGAGAAATGAAAAAATTGCAAGCCCTGTCAAAGTGTCAGAGAACACAATGTCTGTTTCCAAAGCTTTGGTCTTTGAGGACTGCAGTCAGCTCCAGACAAACCTTAAAACTATAATTGGTACAGGGGCTGAGGATCGATTGCAGAGCACGTGTTCAGCCTCTGTGGACGTGATTTCATATGCTGCCCTTGGTCATGGTGCTCCTACGTTCCTAAAAACTCAATCTCAGTAAGGTATGAACTATTGATTTTGCAACAGCGATCGGCTTGCCTCGCTCTCTTCCTAGACTTTGTGCAGACCCACAATTACAGTGAAGGGGATTTGACAGGACAAAAAAAGCATTAGCACCCAGGCTTCACCTCCTCTCTGTACTTCCTAACTGAAACCCTGCTCACTTCACCAGGCATGGAGGCTAAATGGAGGGAGCTCACTGCAGATCTAACTCAATCACATTGCCGTTTTGACCTTCAAGCTCCACGACCCCAGAGGACGGAAATCATTGCTGAGCAGACACTTTTGTTGGTAATTTAGTAAAATAGTGCGTACATCATTCAAACTGCATGCAAACTATAAGATGAACATTTTGCATAACAACAAAATCAGCAGTGATTGCCTTCAAATTGGCTTTGAAGCAGAGCCCGGTGTACACTACACATAAATGTCATTATTCTTTTTCACAGTGTGAACTATCATTACCAGTAACAATCCTGGGAGAACAGAACACTTTGACTTTTCTTTTACTCTACTGCCTATGTTTAAAGATGTTTCTTACTTTCTTTGTTAGGGTGATGCAATGCACTGTAAAGTGACACTGTGTGGTGCTGGGCAACCAAAAAAATGTAAAATGCTGCATTTCTGCTCCCAGGAATTCTGGGTCAGTTTCAGGCCTGATAATATGCTTAATAAAGTTCTGTGTATTTCTAAGTGTGAGTCAGAAGCCTATCCGTGCTCTACGGACTCCTCGGTCTCTAGCTTAGAAGCCAATTAAAAGTAGCAGAACTTGCTCTGGTTATTATTATGAAACCATGTATGAAAATGGAACTTAAAGTGTTATCGGTGTAACAGTATCCTTACTCACAGCTTAGCCAATATAGAAAGATAAGCAGGCCACATCAGTCTCCACAGTTACTGCAAATAGATTGTTATTTGGATGGATCGACAAAACTCAATTACATCCAGCACAGCAAATCCTATGCCAAACTGAAACCGTTAAAAAACAATGTATTCAAAAGCCCAAAGGGGTACACACATAGCTCCAAACAATGACAGAAAATCATCTAATTAAGAAGAAGCATTGCTCCTTATATTTGTTAATTGGTAAATATCTTACTTGCAAAGAACAGAACTGCATTTTTCTTGGTGGTCATGTTGGCTGAGATGCATTTCACACCTTGCAAATTGCAGTTCTTTTTCTAACCATATCGAAGTGGCAACCGTAAGCTGAAAAGTAGTGGATTTCTTAATGTGGGTCATCACGGTGAAGGTGAGCTCAGCTAAACTCTGCAATGGGCATCAGCAAAAAGATGAACTCAGGAAAAATCTTTAATTAAAAGCTCATTTTTGCTGCGCTGTGTGGTGTTATTCCACTTGAAAAAAATAATACAATTACTGCAGCAACCACACCACAGTATCACAGGTTAAGCAGTTCAGTGACTGCTCCAAGAGATAAATACCTTATAGTGTAGTTTAAGGAAGGTTGGTGGCATGCTCAACACTGTCACCAGAGAAAACGAGAAATGATTTATAAAACATATATTGAATGAAAATCTGAATACCTTCTTGGGAGACACACTTATGTTTTTTATAGACACAGGGAAAAATAAATAACCAAGTCCAAAACCATGCATTCTAGGTAAATTGAAGAAAATTGCTCCTAGAAGTGAATGTGTGCAGGCTGTGCCCCTCCTCTAGCCCAATGCCAGCTGGGATAAGATCCAGCACCCTGCCACCCTACTAGGACTAAGTGGCATGGTCAATGAATGAAGTAGAGAAATATTTTCAGTGTTTGGTTCATTTCCAGTGAATCTGACTCACTTCACGAAATACAATTGTAAAACTTTAATCCTGTTTAATGACATCTTAGGAAAACATGCCATTACAATTAGAGTACGTCTAAGGCTAGACCCACCATGATTAATAAAGCATTATGCATTAGGTAAATGGTTATAATGAACTCACTTGAGGCCCATGACATCTAGTTCCAAACATGTATTTTTTTAAAATCCCATGTATACTTATTTTTTAACTTGAGCATATCCCTGTAAACCAGTCTTCTTTTGATGACATGATGCTGGGAACTGAAAGTAGCACTTTGCTGGTTACTGAGGGCAGTTACAGTAGCAGGTAGTTAACCTGCTAACAGTACAGAAAATAGACACATGTACATTTCTTTTAATCGTTTCTCTACTTTAAAATAGTGTAAAACCACCGTGCTTAGAAAACAGAACTATATTCCGATATAAACGTTACGGGTACGTCAATCCAGTCTGTAATCCCATATAATCTATCGGTAGCACGGAAGCTAACTCCATCGAGCTCAGTGGCTGGTTAGCGTCATTCCAGTAGCAGCTAACATAAGCTAAACAAAAATGTCTGGGGAAATTGTCTGAAAATGTGCCAGTAAAAAAAATAAGCCAACCAAAATTATTGAGTAATTTGAAGTTGTTAGTATCTGTATGACGGCGGTTTCGTTTATTTATCGACACTCACCTGAACGTATGGTTGTATTATAACGCTAGCTGTCCGGGTTTTCTGTTGTTGTTAGCTAGTAGTTCTACAACTGGCAGCCCCAAACGGCTTTGCTCTGCGCACAGCGCCCCCTACTGTTTCGGAGCAATATCACAGCTCTAGAAAACCAATCTACACCTTTCAGTCTGTGCCGAGTTCATTTTTTAATGGAATGTAACACAGCCTCTTCTTCAGCCTCTCTGTCATTTACGGGAACAGAGGAGAATGTTTTTTATTTATTTACTTGTAATCTAAACTTCTTTATCTTAAATAGATGCACAATCGGACAGTAAGACCCATTTGACTGGTTTAGCTGTGAGGAATTTGCGCCATCTAGTGCATTAAAGAAATAACAGGCACACAATACCTTCAGACCTACTTTGTTTTTATATATTCATCTGCATTGCTTTTTATGGAAATTGCTTAAATGTTTTTTTCTCAGACTACAGAGTAACTGCACCATGTATAGCATAACAGTGCATGTCCTCATAATTTTCCATCTTTGACATAAAAACCTGCCTTATTTACATTCATAATGACCTGTCGAGCAGGAATCAGACTAATAGACATGTGTTCATGCACATTTATTTCAGTTCTGATGCCATTCATGTGAAATCATACAAATCACATATGACACCCATTTTAAACCAGTTGAAACACACGTTAGTTTCCTCATGAATGCATTTGAAACAAAGGATACACTTGTAATTACTTATGTCATTTTAATTAACAGGGATAGATAAGATAAAAACTATACACAAGACTGAAAAGACATATCTTTAATCAGTTTTTCTGACTAACTTTACACCTGTACAGATGCCTTGCTTCTATGATTAAGTACCACATGTCCACAAATGTCACATGTGCAGTATAGTACAGCCAGTTATTAGAGATTCACCTCCGTCGTTTAGGGATAACAACGTTTCCGCTTGTCGCAATAGGGATTAAGAGCTTCCGCTGATCCATTCTGAGATATTTTTCAATTAGCACCTCCACCGGTACTTTGTCATTCACATGGCCCTGCCTGTAAAATGCAAACGCACAACGGTTAAGTCTAAAGAACAAGTGTGATAAAGATGTTTATTTTCCGATAAGTGCTGCATTTGAAAAGAAAACTTGTGAATATATGTTTTCCTTACAGACAGGTATTTAAGTAATAAATATTTGTTTTGGTTTTGACAAAGAGCTTTGTTCCTTACTTATTTCCCATGTTTTCAAAAAATAAAATGTGTCAAAGATTTTTGGGGAGGTGTTTTTTTTTACAGAGACATCTGTTCTAAATTTGGGTACACTTCAATAATATAAACAGTGTAAACGCACCTTTTTAGCAGAAGTTCAGCATCTTCAACCTCAATGGTTTTTCTCTTTCCATGGACAGCATATGCCTCCAAGTCTGCTGCAAGCCGGTCAAAGAATTTATCCATTCTGTAACAACAGGGACGTGCACTGATCAGCTCAGAGGTAACTATAATACCTTGTGTCACATTTTAGAGTAGACAAATGTCACATTAGAAATGAACCCTAGAAATTAATTTGTTTAATTAGTTTAAACCTGTAGAGCAGGAGGTACTCACATTTCATTCAGGACAGGGTAAACATCTGTGGACACCTT